ACATTTGGACAAATATAAATTACGGTTCATATGCATTGGGAAATGATTGCCATTTCATGGATAATATTTTACATAGATTTATTACATCTCAAATGAGCAAATTATACAATTATAGTTATAAATAAATAATAATTAATCAAAAATATTAATGTGCTTCGATGATTTTTTTCTCATTTATATCTTATAACCAATCCGAAAGTTTGCTGTTGGATTCGATGATTTATTGAATATGTTATTTAGTAGATACAAAATTGTTTTGATCAAGAAATAGCCAGTGATTCAATATATTGAGCAAAAAATAACTCTGATTATAAATTCACAAATTATTGAATTAGCAGTTATTTTATGAAAAAAATTTCTCTGTCGTATAATTTCTGTTTTGCTTTTTTTTATTCACATGCATTTTCAAATTCTTGTACAAGAATTGAAAAAAAATTAAGTCAATTTTTAACTTTCCGCAGAGTAAGTTACAATGATCGCTAAAAATCGAAAATGTTAGGTATAACCCCGGACAGGTGTATGCATATTCTGATTGAAACCAAGTGGTAAGCGTTGGCAAACCTAGACTGTTCTTTATTTTATCAATCAGATTTTATTTTTTTATAATGCGTATATAAAAAAACATATAACACTAAATGTTTGCACCCTATGGGGTAAAAAGGGTCAGAAAATTTTTTTTAGAAAAAATAGCAATAAAATATTTCTAACTTTAGGCAATCTCTGGGAAATTTTCTGAACATATTTCAATGTTGGTTGCTTGATATGTGTTATATGCTTGTTTGGTTTTTACAGTATAATTACTAAGAGTAAAAAAATATTTATATGTTTATTAGCTTATATTGGGATGCTGAAAGGGGTATTTCACTCGAAAATGCATCTAGTACAGGTCAAAAAATGATGGGTGCGCTATATTCCATCTTTTCCATTAATATAAGAACATAATTGCATTTTTCTTTAAATTTTTAATAACTTTAAACACGTGATCAGGTACAGCTATATATATACATATATAATTTAGGATGGTTCTTAATATGGATTTTTTCCAATTTCTTTGCTCCCAGGCAAATAGCATCTTTGGGGGACTCATATGTTTCCAAATTAAAAAAAAAATCTTGGAAAGTTTTAGCTCTTAATATTATCTTTAAGATAGTCCGCACTACAGCCAAAGTTTCTTATGAAAATAACGTCGGCAAAAAATACTAAAAATCCATTTAGTTTTTAGAATTTCATAACTTAGCTACAAGTGAATCAAAATTTAGATAATTATATTGTATTTTCTTATTTTGACTATAAATAAAAAATTACAACAAAAATTTGATATTTTTATGAAATAAATAATAACTTAGGAAGAAGAGCCAATAAACTTTGGTTAGAATGCGGACTATCTTAAAGATAATATTAAGAGCTAAAACTTTCAGAGAATTTTTTTTATCAATTTGGAAGCATTTGAGCCCCTGGGAGCAAGGAAATTCGAAAAAAATCCATATTAAGGACCACCCAATATATATATATATATATATATATATATATATATATATACATATTTATTTATTTATTGATTTATCATTATTATATATATTTATATATATACATACATTTATTATATATATATATATACATTATGTATAATATATATATATATATATATATATATATATATATATATATATATATATATATTATTATATTTTATTATAAATACAAGGTCATCGCAAAGCAATGGAAAAATCTTAATTTTTAATCGCATTAACCGGGCCCTCTCATATATTCTATACCAGGGCTTCTTAAACTTTTTTATATAGCGACCCCCATCAAGCTTAGGAAATTTTAAACGATCCCCTCCTTTATATTATAAAATATATATTAACCGTAGATGTAGACGTAATATGGCACTATTTTACAATGTAAATAAAATAAGAATTAAAGAATATGTACCCATTCATGTCACATATATATATAATTGGAAACGTTGACATAAAACTTTATATATATATATTCAAACAATAGGAAAAAATAAACTTTTGTAACAATTTCTTTATAAGACAATATAAAACTATCTATATATAGAATAGAAAAAATGAACCTTTCTAACATTTTTTAATGAAAACATATTATTAACATCAAACAATATTTATGTGACGGATGTGATTGTTTATTTTTACACAAATAATTAAATCTAGGCTCAATTTGAATTAGTACAGATCGTAATAAATTTTCAACGTTTATTAAAGTTGAACGGTATTTGGATTTTATGTAAGTTAATGTGAAAAAGGCTGATTCACATAAATATGTTGCGCAAAATGATAGTAATTTGTTTATTGCCATTTTCGATAGTAGAGGGGATATTCTGATTTGATTTTTATCCAAAATTCATGCACAGGCACTTGAGAAAATCTGAGTCGCAAGGTAGTATCTCTTGTTAATTCGGCAAATTCTTCTTGTGCTTTTCTTAACTTAAAAAAAAATAATTTCTTTCATTTCAATTGATAATAGATTGCAAATCTATTGTTGTGTATCGATTTTATTGGAAAAATACCTATGCATGTAAACTTCCATATCCTTAAACTGTAATCCTGTAAACTATAATTCTTGTTATAGAAGTATCTTTTTTTTGAAATATTCTTACTAATTATATACGTCAGTAAATGGAAACATTTCGAGCGATCCACTTTCGACTCTGTTTTTCCATATAAGAATTATTTTAACAAGGGCCTGAAGTTTATTTTTTAGCATAAACATATTAACGCAGACTCCCTGCATTGATAAATTCATATCAATGATTTTATCAAAAATTTCGGCCAAATAGCATAGCTTGAGAAGCCATAAATTATCGTGAAAATAATAGGCCTAATAATACTAATTTTAAAATATGCAATAAAACCCTGGGGGTCGCGACCCACACTTTAAGAAGCCCTGTTCTATACCATCCTTTTTTATTTATATCCTATTCTATCTTATCTCAGCCCTTCGTAACTGATTTCTTCATTCTTTTTTTTCTTCTAAATTTGATCTTCATGAATTCTAATTTTGGTTTTTCTTCTTACTTCTAATTTTTTATTCAAATTCAACTCAACAAGGGGCACAACTAGTGTGGAATTTTGAAAAAATCGATTTTTGTTTTTTTTCATATTTCGCTAGATTACACCTTTAAAAATAACATATTAAAATTTCAAATCGATATCTCAAATAGTTTGTTACAGCCATTTAAAAAGTATATATATTAATATAAATATAAATATAAATATAAATCGATCGATCATTTTATCTTTTAACGCGTTTTTTTCGAAACAACATTTTCCGAATTTGCTGCAGTAATTACTCAAAAACTAATGATCCGATCACTATCAAATTTTTTTTTACATCTTTCTATATATAGTTCTCCGTAAAGTGAACTATCGATTTTTTGATCGGATCAAAAATAGAATTTTGGCAGTCGAAAAACGACCAAAATTTTGGGCAAAATTCGACTTTTTTTTTAAAAACGCCGTCATTTTGTCAATTTTTGATTATTTTTTTTCATCGTAGTTCACTTTAAAGACAATATTATCTAGTTTAACAATTTTTTTTTTGATTTCATCCACGTCAAAGGCCGGAATCACTGCAGTTTTAAGGGCCTTTTTTTGTTGCGTCGTTGGAGATCGACGATTTTTAAAACATGTATAAATATATTTCTAAAATTTTGAAATGATTGATAAAGTAGTTTTTTTAATATAAATTCTCAAAAATCACCTTTTTTTAGGCGGTTACACTAGTTGTGCCCCCCTTAATTCTGATCTTCTCCAATTCTATATCTTTCCTTGCTTTCTTTTTACTTCTAATTCTATTTAATGCAGAATTGCATTAAATAAAATTCTAATTATTTTTAATTCCAAATTAACTATTTTTGAATTCTTACCTAATTCTATTTCTATGCAATTTCTAATCAGTAATTCAATTTCTAATAAACTATTCATGTTTTTTTATGTATTTGCCAAGAATCGATCCAAGGACCATTGGCGTGTGAGTCAGGCAAGCTACTGATGAACTACTCCCGCAACGTAATAACAATTATCTGTCCAAAAAATTTTATGCTTTCGGTATGCATGCATAATTACAACATTGATTTGTTACAAATATATCGATTTGTTACAAATATATCGGTAAGTATACAAAGCTAAACTCTCATTTCGTCCCTTCTCGATCACCTAAAAAACATTTCTCTGAACCTGTCCCTTCTCTTCTCGATCAATCTCTGAATTTCGTCTTTGTTTTAAATAATCTCCCGATGAATATTATTGACCAATGATGCATAGGTGCGCGTGTCGGGCCTTTCTTGTGTTCGTGCATTTAACATCTCTACGTGTGGTGTGAGTCGCAGCACGCGTTCATATTCCTACGTTGCGTGGGTTTAAGAACGGCCGGAATTGTCCCAGAGAGATCATTCAGTCTCCTGACTGCATCGGCGACGTACTGAGGTTGGTTAAACGATCGCCGAAACGGTTTATTTTATTTACGAAATTTTATTTAAATTTTTTTTGTTAAATCGAACGAACGACGAATCCGAAGGTAAAAAATTAACATTATTATTGTTTGTGCAAATTTGCAAAAAAAGTGATTTTGATAAATGGATTTATCAGTTGGACAAACAATTGGACTAAAAGTGTTTATAATCAAAAGTTGACAAAAAGTGCCGTTCAAAAATATTTTGTAACTGTTTTATTAGTGCCTTACAATTTTGGACTGACATTCAAGAAACGCGATCCAACCATTTTTTTTTTATTACTCCTTATTTATAAAGCTATTACAAATTTAACGACCATGCAGTGTGTTTTCTTTAAATGTGTTACAATTTAAATCCACGCGATGCGACGGCTATAAACAATCGCTTAATGTGTTAATAAACGACGTTCGACAAAAAAGGAAAGATCCGGTTTATGGTACCACGAAGGTTTTATTTTTCTAAAAGTTTTAAATGTCCAGCGTCTTAATTAGTTCTCGCCTTTCCTTGTCCGCGGGTTCGGATCGTGATGGTCAAGAGACAATATTCGAATATGACTTCGTTAGTTCTGCGAGATTTCTGTGCACGACAGCCGCAGCAGACGCTTCGCCAGCACCAGGACGCCAATAATAATGATAGCAATCATGAACTTTTGATTCATCCGAATATGAATTTAAGTAAATCCAAAAAAGGTGATAAATATTCCTTGAGGCCAAGAGGGTCTGAACAAGTCAATTCTATTACTAGCTGTTTAACGAACAAGTCCAATCGTGGTGGCAGCGGTAAGAGCAAACAAAAAGCGGCTCCTCTGAGTAAGTATCGACGGAAAACAGCAAATGCACGCGAACGAACCAGAATGCGTGAAATAAATTTAGCGTTTGAAGCTTTGCGAAGTTGTGTGCCGCTCACCGCGGCAGCTAGAAGGGCTCAAAATTCGTCTAACGCAAATGAAAAATTAACAAAAATCACGACTTTGCGACTTGCCATGCAGTACATCGCTGCGTTAAGTGGAGCTTTGCAACAAAATCAAATCCAGGAGGAAGAACAAGCTATGTCATCAGCAAGTTCTGCCCAAAGTCCTGGTTCATCTTGCAATACAGATGCTTTGAGAGATTTCGATCTGTCTGATGCCTCATCTCAAGATGCGCTTTTTCTGGCTTGGTTATGCAAGATTTTGATGATTTAGAATTACTG